TAGCGATGGAGTTAGTTCGTAGAGTTTTACTTTGTTCTTTTGATTTTATTTTAAAATCAAAAGAAAGAAAATTTTTGAATTCGAGTCGTTTGTCTGTTGGTGGTGGAGGATTATTGAAGAAGGTTTATAATTCGTTCATTTATTCAAATTTATACATGAAGAAATTTACTTTTCATTTATTCGTTTCGTTGGTCACATTTTTATGCGGTGGTTTTTCGCATTTTTTGTTGAATTTTATTAGAATTCGAATGAATTGAATGTTTGTTTAGTTGATGATTGAATGTTTAGATCAATGGCCATAAATGTTGTTGCGTTCTTGATTGGGGAAAAGAGAAGAGAGCCAATGAAGTGGTCGAGAGAATTTGCTCGTTAATGGAGTTTTTGATGAGTTGTGAGATCAGTATTTTGGGATTTTGTAAGTTTTATTGTTTTTTGATTGATTGAATTTGTTTTTTTCATTTGCATTCGATTGAATGATTGTATTTGATTTGCGTTGTCAGATTTCGTTTCTGGCAAATAAGATGAGAAAACAATTTTTGCATCTCGTTAAATTTCAGCGAACTTCCCGGAGACACTTCAGAGCAGTTGTTCATCGAGTGTTGTTGGGCATCGGACGAGAAGAATGTTTCAGAAAACTTTACGAAACTTTTTTGAGAGAAGACCGTCGATGTGTCATTTGGAAAATGTCTCGTTGAAACTGTTCGGAAACGATCAATTCGTTCGAATGGCGAATCAGTTCAGCACACAGCTCACCTCAATTCATATACATATTGCGGATCGATCGCAATTGGTTAGCAAATTGCGTTTTTTCATTTGGCCCTTTGAGATCATTTATCGTTATCGTAGAAATATGCGAAGAACTTGTCTGCGTTGAATTTTTTATTTTGTAAATTTCAGAGGGAATTCAAAAGTTTAAGTCATTTGGAGAATTTGATTGATGTTTCATTACAAATCAACTCGTCGTGTCCAATCGTAAACTGCTCACATGGATTGCACATTACGCATGTGTACAACAGTGATGATGATAGTAGTAATGATGTGGCTCAGTTGAGCAATGGAATTGAACATGATAATAAGAGCTTATGGCCAAAAACACTGCGTTTCGTATCATTCCCGAAACTGCGACGTTTCCAAATTATTTTGTCGTCAAATTGGTATATTCACAATTCAGTTTTTAGTCACTTGTTTTTTGTTCTTTGAATCTCATATTGGTTCTATTAGACTGCTTCGATTCGGTGTGTTTATTCAGAATAGAATCGTTTAGGTGACTAGTTGCTAAAATTGTTTTATTCATTATTTATTACTGAGCGATTTACACAAA